GAAATTCTTTGTGGCAAACTGTGCAGAAGGCGAATCGTTGGGTTGATCCTCGTTTTAGCCACAGCTTGTATTTCTTTTCGGATAGCCAACGCTCGTTAAAACAGCAACCTCCTGGCATACTGTCATTCTCTCATTAGAATGCCCAGGTCACACAAAATAAAACACTTGCAGGTCGCGCGCATAGCGCGGGAAGGCCGGAGCGGAGCTGTTTTATGTAGAAGCGAAGCAACTAAGCTCGCTCCGACTTCTTTATTTTCTTTTAATCTAAAAAGCGAACTATTCAGTCAGACAGCAATTTATTGTAAAAGTAAAGCATTTACAATTTCAAGCACTTTATCTCAAATCCAAGCACCATTCCCAAAATTCAAGCACTTTTCAAGTCATGAAAACACCTCGTAAAAATTCAAGCATTTTCAAGGATTTCAAGCACCCGTACGAACCCTGAATCTTCTTCTTCTTCTATTTTCATGCATCAAAATTCCAAACCAAAGACATATAAACACAGCTTGGTGTTCCCACCTGCACCACCAGCCGGGGAAGGCCGCAGGTCAGCATGCCTGAGCTGAAGAACCAGGTCTGGGTGGTGCTGCGGCGAGAGTCTGGCCTCCTCAGCATCAGCGGCTCGAAACTGGGAGAGAAAAGACAGGATGGGAGTGTTCGCTGATACATTTCCTCACAGTTTATGGTGAATGATCAATGAGAGACACATCTGCTGATCCCACACAGTACACACCTGTTGTCACTGACAGCTGCCAGCCCTGCAATGTCCAGCACCAAAGAAGAGTCCAGGGGGCGGGGCTGTGCAGGCTTGCTCTGCGGGGGGGACGAGCCCTCATGGCACAGCATGCCGGTCCCCGTCATCCTCCACAGCTGAGAGCGCTTCCCTGGCTCCTGCACAGCCATCACAGTTACAACAGTTACAACAGTGCTTGTTATTCAAATCGTTACTTTGTGTTACTTTCTTCATGGAATGCAACTGGGGGGGGAACTTGATTACCGGATTCCTCTCACTAATGCTTACCCAGAGCTGCACATGCACTTTGACATCACAGCATACACACACTGTGTGTTTATTGGGACTGATCCATGGCAGACAAAAAAAGTGTAACCCTAATCAACTACATTAGTCTGTGAGTGAATGATTCCATTGTCACTGCCTTGCTGATCGGCACTTGGATTCTCTGTATTAGTTGTCCCTCTAAACTTGCATGCTGTTTTTCCCCTCACCCTCACCCTGACCCTAGCCTGTGCAGTGTGGGTAACCTGACATGAAAACAGTACCTTCTTTTTCAGGATGACCCTTTGAGTCTTAGTGTCCACGTCGAGGACCAGTTCAGCACAGCTCACCAGACGCTTCTTCCCAACAGGCCTCTTCTCCACTTTCCTGCAACAACAAGATGATGCCTTTAACGTTTTAATATAGAGAAACATAAAGATATATGGTGATGTCATTAGTCAGTCAGGTCATACGGTGAGAAGGTGTGCGTGGCAGCGATGTAGATGAAGTTCTCGTAGTAAAGCTTGTTGTACTCTCTGAAGAAGTTCATGTCTGCAGTGACCTCTGAGGATCCCGCCCCCTTCACGGTCAGAGTGAGGTAGGGGGGCAGGGTGGGCTCGTCACAGGCGTAGTCCAGCAAGCAGTCCGCCTTCACCTCAGTGTGCAGGCGGACGTCCGCCACACCATGCTGCCAGCACTGGATTGGAACCTGAAGGGATGAAACAACGAAATCTGTTCAATTTACTTATTAAAAAAGGGGATAGACCCAATAACCACTTCCAAGATGTTTAATTCCTGGAATCGCATGCCTCTAACAATCAATTCATTTTATGTCCTACTGACTTTTGCATGTGTGAAGTTGCATAAACACCATGTTTATCATGTTTCAATTTGTTTGGGACCAAAGGCATGCGGGAGACAAAAAAACACTCAAGCATGTGACACTGCTAAACCTGGAGGCCCCTTGTTTGTTACTTAATAATGAAACATAAAAAAATTGGTCTTAAAATGGTCAGGAGTAGAGCTGACTTACTTCAGAGATGTTGTCGATGCGGAAAGGTGGAGGCAGCTGGTCCGTGTCAGAGAAGGAGATCTGGTACGTGGCCCCCTTCAGGGTGATCTCTGTCCGCAGGAAGAAACAGCTTCCCAGTGTGTCCCTGTTCAAAACAACATCCACTTCAAATTCTTCATTTCAATTTCCACACAACCTGAGATGGTGGAATATATATACAGTTGCAAGAAAAAGTATGTGAACCCTTTGGAACTACCTGGATTTCTGCATAAATTGGTCATAAAATGTGTTCTGATCTTCATCTAAGTCACAACAATAGACAAACACAGTCTGCTTAAGCTAAAACCACACAAACAATTATATGTTTTTATGTTTTTATTGAACACACCATGTAAACATTCACAGTGCAGGGTTGAAAAAGTATGTGAACCCTTGGATTTAATAACTGGTTGACCCTCCTTTGGGCAGAATAACCTCAACCAAACGTTTCCTAGTTGCATATCAGACCTGCACAACGGTCAGGAGGAATTTTGGACCATTCCTCTTTACAAAACTGTTTCAGTTCAGCAATATTCTTGGGATGTCTGGTGTGAATCGCTCTCTTGAGGTCATACCACAGCATCTCAATTGGGTTGAGGTCAGGACTCTGACTGGGCCACTCCAGAAGGCGTATTTTCTTCTGTTGAAGCCATTCTGTTGTTGATTTACTTCTGTGCTTTGGGTCGTTGTCCTGTTGCATCACCCATCTTTTGTTGAGCTTCAATTGGTGGACAGATGGCCTTAAGTCCTCCAGCAAAATGTCTTGATAAACTCGAGAATTCATTTTTTCGTCGATGATGGCAATCTGTCCAGGCCCTGAGGCAGCAAAGCAGCCCCAAACCATGATGCTCCCTCCACCATACTTCACAGTTGGGATGAGGTTTTGATGTTGGTGTGCTGTGCCTTTTTTTCTCCACACATAGCGTTGTGTGTTCCTTCCAAACAACTCAACTTTGGTTTCATCTGTCCACAGAATATTTTGCCAGTAGTGCTGTGGAACATCCAGGTGCTCTTTTGCAAACTTCAAACGTGCAGATCAGAACACATTTTATGACCAACTTATGCAGAAATCCAGGTAATTCCAAAGGGTTCACATACTTTTTCTTGCAACTGTATATAGAGATGTACTACAGCAAAAGTATTCTCCGTCGGGACTTCCTGCAACAACACCACGCCGTTATTGTGATTCTGATTGGCCAGAAGACATTATCAAAGATGTTCTATTGAGAAGACGATCACTACGTGACAAAAGTGTTCAAAACCGTTTCTAGTCTTCGGTATTTCCAGACAAGTGGCTACTGAAATCAATCTTACTAACTGCTGTCTGTGCAATTTACTCCGCGAGTTGGCAGACTTTGTTT